GCTTTCCGAAAACTGAGCCAAAAAAGAAGTAGCGCCTTCTATTGAGTAACGCAACGTGAATCTGTGTTGCGCGAGGAATAGTAAGGAAGGCATCCGCTACTCCCCTTACAGACTATGGGACACTTCGTTTCTCCTTCGCCACATTCCTTTGGAGACACATTGCTCGATTACCCCGCGTGCAGAATCCCTCCCTAAAATAAGGTGACCCTGTCCGTAATCGGGAAAAGAAACACTTGAACGTTTGAAAGCTATATGAGAAGGCCTGGGATCTGCGGTGATTGGTGCGCTTCGCCTCGAGGCTATTAGATACCAGATTTGGAAATCAGAAGTATAGATGCTGCTTAAAGAAGAAGAAAGCCAAGAGCAACTCGAATAGGCCCATAATAAGGGAGAACTCTGTTACAACGGAGGAACGACAGGATTTCGGAATGAAAGAGCGTACCAAATAAACGAAACGATGGGGACCAACGAAAATGCGGTAGCCCAAGCACCCTAGCGCTTTAGCATCCTTAATGTACAACTTTATAACGCAAAGATGGTAAAAGGTGGTTCATCGCGGTCCACACTACCTGTGCCCAATTGAGGCCTCGGATCTCACGAGTAATCGCGAAATGTACCCGAACCCGCAAAACTACCAGGGTACCATTAAAGGCAAAGTCTGCAACCAGACAATCTGGGTAGTGTGCTCAAATAGAGATGTGTAGATGTCAAGAAAGTCAAAGGTAAAAAATAGAAAAAAAATTGCTCGCAAATGCCGTCAATAAAACCCCTCGCAAGCACATTCTTAACGAGCAGAGGGCTAGCAAAGGGTGTGATTGGACGGGATCACCTGGCGAGTGATGCTGTGCCCCGCCCCCGTATTTGATCACAGCTGATTTCGTATTGACAACCATGTCCCTACCCACCTTCTTTGGCAGGTCTTCTCTTATTCAGGCTGAGTAGAGCGACGGGCGGGGCCAATTAGGGTGGGTCGAGCCAATGAGAGGATCGACGCCATCGTCGGCCTCCTCACTCGCAAAACGGTGCATTTGCTGCCTTTGGGGACCAGTCTACTTGCTCACGAGTTGAGAAGGAAGTTCCAAGATCTGGGGCACTGCCTCTAATGGTAAGAATTTGAAGATTTTCTTCACTCTTACCTTAGCACCTTCACTTATTCAAACCATACTGCCAGTTGCAATGACTCTGCTAGCCCTGCAATCTAAAGAAATGTCATTCAGAGCTGCACTTGCTCCTCGGAACAGAACCCGTCGTACGTTGCGAGTCCCCAGCGAGCGGGCTCGTATCTGGGCGGTGGAACGAGGGAGGGAGTCGTATTTGCATTCGGATCGGGTTGTTGCTTGTTGAGTTTTTTTTTCCTGTTTCAACTCCCCATTCAGGGCACATCATCGTTGGGATCCTTCAACAGAGGGGGAAGGGGTCATATTTCGTCGCTGAGATGAAAAAGTGGTCTTTTTTAATCTGAGAGAAAAATTTTCAGTGTTGATTTTGCCTGTTTCAGGGAACCTTTTAAGTATGGGAGTGTACGGAAGCCGACCAAAATGCCCAAGAAATGATATGCCCTGATTCCATGGGGAAAATTTGCGAAATGCTAGGAGCTTGAGGAAATCAAGAATCGGTAGGTGGGGCGGGCGTTGGGAAAGGAGGTGACATTAGCAAGGGGAAAATTCCAGAGAGGGGAGGGTCGTGTTCTGCAAAAACTTCCTTGACGTCAGGGCACGCCCCGTTGCGTTGTTAAAGACAACTCCCGCCACTGTATGTTGTGAGTAGTGGCATTCAATAGCGAACCTATAGTCGCTAAGTAACTCCAGAAGAGAAAGAAAGCAAAAAAATAATCACGGAGAACGCCTTAAGGACCGCCGGGCAGCCTCGCTGCACAAGTTGCCCAGACCTACTCGTTTCATGCCAGCAAAGCGATATCGCGCCGCCTCTGGCTCACTAACCTTTCACGTCATCCAATGCATTCACTATCAACGAAGAACGCGGCATCAAACTGGACTCGTGATAGAAACTGCTTTTGAGTTGCGGTGGGCGGGACGACTAAGGAGGCCTCAGAACTGCCACTTATGAGGGCTGCACTCGCTTCGTTACTTCTTGTAGAGCCGCGAAAGTAGGAAAATCTTAGTGACTAAGGATTAGATTACTTATACAAGGAAAACCTATGCCTATGGATTGCTTGAGCCCGATGACTGCTTCGAACACAGCGCACATCATTTCTGAGCTAGTCTCAAATGAGGGGAGAAGGTCGTATATGGTCGTTGGACTGCACTTCGGTATAGGTAGGTTATGGAAGGGGGGGGGGGGAGGTTCTTTCTGAGACTCTTATTAAAATAGGTCGTATTGGCAGCGCTATTCCATTGTGTAGTTCGCTGCGGGCGGTAGGGCGTGTCAGGCTGGATGAGTTTGGCGCGGTGCCAAACCCGTTCCACCAGTTGTTAAAGCGAGCAAGTGATATGACTGTATCATATCGTTCGTATTACTCGTTTTCTACCACTTTTTGTCGCATGCGCGCTTCAACAAGAAGGCAGAGAACGGCTTTGACGGCGTGACACACTCATACTGCCTGGCAGGCCCGCCCGCAGCGAACTCGAGTGTACATATTACGGTGATGTACCTTGATTGCGGAGCTCACTGAAAAAGCGTTACAGAGCGCATATCCTCACTAGTGCCTGGTGGATTCTAGTTCGCCGCGGATGAAGGGGTTTATACTGCCTGTCAGGCAGTATAAGTGCGCCACGGCGCGAAGCCTGTTCTCTGGCATTGCTGAGCGGGTACCAGCTCGCAGAAAAGGAGTGATACGAACGACATACTACATTCTTGTCGCTTCAAGAACTGGTGAAGAACGGGTTTGGCACCGCGCCAAACCCATCTCGCCTGACACGTCCTTTCGCCTGCAGCGAACGAGACTGTACACTGTTACTACTGTTCACTTCGCTCTTTCCGAGTGAATACTTTGACACTTCGAGATATAATTAAAGAATTTATATCAAACAAAACAAACACGTATACGTTCCCACAATATTTTCACAATTTAGCAGATTCACTCATTGTAATTGGAAAAATCGAAATTCTTCAATTGCTAACGCTAAAAAGGATATAAAGACACTAGAAAATTCCAGCAATATGATAGATGAATACTTATTGGAGAACGTTAATGTTTCTCGTGGAGTTGGGAAGGAATATTCAACAACTTTGAATAGTCACCTCCACAAGGAAACCTACCTATGAAAGGGTCGAAATAAGGAACATCACACGCAAACCAGCTGGAAATAACCCCACTCTGAAGATTACCTACTTGGGGATGTACATTTCACAAACTCTCTTAATTGGTATAAGCCAAGATTTGTGATATAAACGTACTTAAGGGTGGGCAATGAAGGGATGTAACCCTTCCAAAATATGATAACTGTGATACGGTAGTAAAAAGACACCGGAGCAATCGCAGACCACCTAACTCCTAGTACAGCTATACACAAATTACGAGCATGTTACGTCGCGAATTGTATCTACAAAAAAAGAACGTCAACGTGATGGGTGCAGTAAAAAATTACCCTCTTATTTCACCTACAGGGCTCATACGATGCAACAATGATAGCGATGTGGTGACTAGACGGTAGTGAGAAAACGACAGTGGATGGGATGGTGTAGGCGGAATTTTATCCACAGCTATTTCATAGTGAGGCAAAGGTAGTTTGGAGGTACCGCGTGACGGTGAGACTATGCCACGAACCTTCTCTGTCATGCCACGGCCTTCCAAAGAGAGAATGAGTATTCACGCCTCTTCCCTTGGATGGGAGAGAGTGAAAGGGGTGAGGAAACCTTACCAGCGACGCGCGCCAAGCGATTTCATAGCAATAGCAGCAGCAAAGGTCCAGAAAAGACCAGCGCCATAATGGCATATTACCCGATGACAGCTTGCCAACCAAGGCCAGGCGTGATGGACCAAAATTGTATTAACTGTGAAAAAGTTTCTTTTTCCCTAAAAAATTCGAGCCCTGAATATGTTTCCCGCCTTACTTCAATGTCCGAGGGCTATTGAACCGTCCGTCATCTTGCACCTCTTTCTTCCTTTAACGCCCAGCGCTGTTTATTCGGCTTACTGCCAGCGAATACATCGCCTTCAAGTGCCGTGGCCAGGTTGGCCCACGCGCTACCTTCGCCGCGCAGCTGTTCTATGTTACCTGGCACGCGACACCGGTCAGTTCATCCATTGCGGTTTTCCCTTTGCTCGATGAGAGGGAGCAGACAAGCTAGCATAAGGCCGCGTTCATACTTTGTGCTACCGTACGCTAGCGTAGGGCAGCGCTTCGAGTGTGCGACAGCTACAGCGACTGGGAAAATATAGGTATTGATCTAGCGTACGGCAGCGTATGCCTAGCGACTGGGAAAAAAGTGGATATCGATCAAACGAACGCTAACGTATACCAGCGCCAGTGTTTTCAATTTGAGCATGAGCAAAACTGCCCGTGGAAACGCTATGTACGCTGGCATACGCTCGAAACGCTAGATCGATACTTAGATTTCCCTAGTCGCTTTCAAGGTTGCTGTTCGCTGGCTTGCGCTGGATCATAGCTATACTTTGCTAGTCGATGGCGCCGGTGTGTGCTCGAAATGCTGTGCACGCTGACGCAAAGTATAAACATAGCTTGAAGTGGAACAGTGGCGCTGCCACATGGCACCCCTAACTACTTTTGCCCTTTCACACTGCTACGGTAGGGGTCATTCAATATTTGCGTACATCTTCTCCTAAAGCTCGCGGACATCATACCACGAGTAAGCTACTGAAGCGCTAATCAAATGTGTGATAGATCATATCAAAAAATTAAATTACGAACATCGAAGCATTTAGAAAAGTATGGATTGGACGGTCAGCAGGGTAGAATTGCAGAACCGCGGAAGATTCCATGTTAAGAAGATGCTGGACAATACACCTTCGCCAATGAATCGGCTCCAGCTGAGCCAATAAGCGGTCGAGAGGGATGGAATGCCACGCAGGTTACAGAGGCATCGTATTTCTTACGATGAGCTGATATTTCCTTAAATAAAACAAATATTTTTAAGGTTAATTGAGAGGACTTCCGGAAATCTGGCCTATCGCACGGAACTCACCTGGAGGCAAACACGCTTTTCCATATTCCACATCCGGAGACTGCCATCATGGCTGCCAGATAACAAATAGAGCCCGTTGGGATCAATAGCCAAGGAGGAAATTCCTTCCACGTGAGCAACAGCACTGTGGGTTAGCTTACCTTAAACAACATTTCATGAAAATCCGAAAATTTCGAGAAACCCTGCGCTAACTCAAACAGACCTGTGTGGTTATCAAAGTAGCGAATCTTGCGATCATCAGCAGCTAAGATTGTCAAAGGCATTGTTGGGTGAGAAAGGATTCGAGTTATGCACGTTCCGGGAGATACGTCTAAACAAGGAAGTTTTAGCGGATTTGTGAAATGGTGAATTTGTCACCGAAATAGAATTAAAAGCTCAGTGAAATAGTGAATTTGACTTCGAAATAGATTCTAAAGTCCAAAAATCCAATGAGTCGAATTTGAAACAACGCTACAACAGGTGGCTTCCCGTAAGGAGAGACTTGAAAAATGAACAGAAAGTACGCTCTATATCCGGGAGATAGTAGGGCGATGAGAAGAAATGGAAAGGTGTGAATTCCGAGCTAAGCAATTTTATCCATGCAAGCAGATGTTTTCATATGGTTTTGAGAGGTCGATGCGAAAGAACCTTCCTGTGTTGTATTATTTGAGCATCCACGATCTTACAATTTGTGGTAACTTTTAATATTGCTGAATAATTATTTAAACATTTCGTAATCTGCCACATATCCGGCTTCTCTTCAGTGCTCGTTCCTCTCCTCAAGAACTGAGCTATGAAACTTTTGCGCTGCCACCACCCTGCGTTATCCCCTTCGATGGTTTCGCACAACGATGGTGTACCCTGTGCGGCTAGGTACATCCTTCGAAGGCGGCGCAGGACGCATTTATCGTAAAACACTCCAAATTCGAACAGCTGTCATTCTGTGCTGTGACAGACAAAGACAAACGCATGATCACAACTGGTCAAAATGAATGTAACTCTTCAGAAATGCTACCATCGCCACCTTTGAATGGAGTCTGCGGCCACGACCAACCCAGCTCCTGCAGATGAAGTGAATTCGACGCGCAGTATTAGGTTCATGGTAAGTTTTCGAAGGTCAACTTACATGTTCGTAACTTCTTGCTTACGCGACGACTTCTAATGGATTTCAGTGTTATCGAAGAGCTCTGCATCCAAGAAAAAAAAACTCGAAAATCTTGATTCCAGCGCTGAATCATGGAAGATGAAAATGGATTCGGGGAAACTCGAGCACAGTCCGACGGGATATGGAACAGATCCTCGAAACATTCCCTCAATGATTAGCAGGAGCTTTCTATCTGTAACCGACCGATCATTTTCTAATTTCTTGGTGAAAATTATGACATATCAAGCACCGCTGGCAATGGTGTTCAGGAGCTAATAAGAACATTAGATCAGGTTCATAATAGCACGACGAACTTCTTGTCAATGTGAAGATCTCAGGGTAATTAAACCTCAGGGTCGTGACAGTGTAAACTCAACTGGCGCCTCTTAACAGGCGCGCGCTCCAGAGCCGAGTCCTGTAGCGAAACCTACCTAGGCCAGCTACGCCTTTCATCTCTCCGGAGCTAGAAATCCTACCATACTCGT